CGGGGGGGGGGGCGCCCCCCCCCCCCCCCCCGTGCCGGCTGTCTGAAGCCCCCTGTTATCTTGACACCGTGGCTGTGGGAAGGCAGGCCCTTTTCCCTCCCCTCCTTCACATGGTTTAGGCACCATTTGAGGCCTCCAGCGTCTCCCTTCAAATGCAACATGGCAGCCTATAGCCCCCCATGATGTCCCCCCACACACATATTGCCTCCCAGGCCTCCTCTTACACAGTGCTGGTCCCCCCACATCTATACCACACACCATGACTGGGTTGTGGGGGGTTCAATCCTCTGTAACTTTTCAATTGAACTGCAAAGCCTCCCCCATGCTCCAAAAGGTACCACCCTGGACACCCACATTGATTGCAAAAAGGGGCATCGCTAGATTTCCCCTCCAAACCCCCCCATTTCTCCTTTAATCATGTTGGGACTATCTGAGAGTTGCACAAGTTTCCCCCCAAGCCCTTTGCTTGTGTTACTCCACGTTGCCACGCGTCGTACGAGGGTGACTGCTCGCTGCGCAGGAACTCAGCGGCAGCGATGTGAAAAACAGGAGACAATTGCTTATTTGTTAGGAGCACGATGTTTAGCTCTCGGGCTGGGCGAATCCTTGGGAAATGGGCTTTTTGCCCGATCAGGTCCTGAAGAACGTGCTTTGTGCGACATTTGGCACAAATAAAAACCTCCCCCCGCCTTTAGGGAAGGAGCGAATATAGGGCTCGTGTCGTTCTGTCTATGCAGGACCTCTCAAGGTTTTGCCAGGCTTTCACCCTGTTTCTAAACCGCTGTGGCCCATTTTGGGGTAGTTTAAAAAGCGGTTTTCTTCTCGCAGTAACTGAGGTCACACAAAAAGCGATGTTAAAAATGGGTTATAAGTAGCAAAATGCACATTTTAGGAGCAGGATTAGAGGAAATCAAGAACCTTCCCTTTGCATCTAAAATTGTGCCCCTTCCCTAGGAGGAGTAGCATAAGTCACCAGGATAGTTATGTTGTTTTGCTGCCTTTTGCCCCCTGTGTACGTGCATTGCAGTAATGAAGCCGGCATTTCTGTCTTCTGCCTTAAGCTGCAATTTGGTGTGTGTATCCACCCCTGCCCATCTTTGTGTGTTAGGTCATAAACTGATCACCTGCTGTGTTAGAGAAGGAATTTCCTCTCCGTGAGAAAGCGCTGTGCAATTACAGTCGATGGATAGAGGAAGGGCTGCGCCTTTTCCTGAAACCTCTAGTGTTGGCCAAGCATACTAGGACTTTGCATCAGTATGATAAGAAGAGGGTTACTGAGCTATGGGGGACCACAAACCTGGTCTAATTTGGCAGGTGGTAGAATATGGAGATAAACAGCCGATAGGCTGGGTAGCAGCAGGCTGTGGGATAAGGGATTAGATGGACTGTTGGTTTGGATAAAATACCATGTTCCTTATCAGAATACACTGCATTCCTTTAAGTGCGTTAAATCCGGCTTCTCTGGTTCCCTTTACTGCATGTCGGCCCAACGACGTATTGCTTTTTGGCAGTACAGTCAGGCCCTTGCAAAACTGCAGTGTGTTGCTGCTTTCTCACAGACTGCGACAGTACACATGCCACAGATCTCAAAGGACATTTTAACTCTGGGCCAGGCAGCCAGCCAGCGCAGCGATCCAAGGCACGTTCCCAAAACTGAATCCTGTCCAGCCTTGCTTTTCTGCCAACCTGTTTTTGACCTTTGCCTCCCCTGACCCTAATCTGACTGAAGATGCCTCACTATCACATGGGTAGGGGAGCATCTCAGGATGGGACCCTGTATTCGAAAGTTTTCTGCTGTGGACAGTATATTAGAGCTTCTCAGATAACAAAGGTTTAAGGTGGCCTGTATAGTTTGGGAAGTCTAGCGTTTTCTTCTTTACCAAGCTATTTTGGCTTGTAAAATACAGTCATTAGTTTATCACATCATTTCCAAAGAGAAGATGCCAGACAGAAGCCTAGTGAAATCGCTGAAGGGAGATCAGTGCCAATAAACTGCCCAACTATGGTAACACCTCTGTTGGACAGTGTTTATGGCTCTGTCTGCTCTGCATTTTGCTAACTAGGCTGATTTTGAACACAGTTGAAATCAGCTAATGCAGCTCAAACACAGTAGGGATAGAACCACTGAAAGCACATTTCAAAACCATATACTATTCCTGGTCCCCTGGAGCAGCTTTCTGCCCGTTGCTGCTCTGAGTCCTTACTATAATCAAGATCGAATGCACAAGATTACTCATGAAATCTTTATTACCTGGTCTAAAAACCTTGACATTGATCACAGTCAGAAAAAGCTACTGTCCCCGTCACAGGCAGAAATCAGTGGCATGTCTCTTCAGTGGGCATGTCTACATGTGCACAATTACTGTGCAGTAATTTAGGTAACCAAAAATTACTGTGCAGTATGGGCACACATCTATACTGAGCAGTAACTATGGCGACTTACGCTTACTTGGGTGTAAATTTGCTACCTGCATGATGCAGGTAGCAAATTTATGCCCGATTAGTTACTGCGCAGTAAGGCATGTGTAGATGCTTTACTATGCATTAACACTGCGTGTATGGATGGACTTGGGACTAACTTGAGTCCCAAGTCAGTCTACACACAGCATTACTGCACTGTAACGCCTGCATGTGTAGACGCTGGCCTAAAAACCACTTACTGTGCAGTAATTTACTGCGCAGTAAATTACTGTGCAGTAAATGCATGTGTAGATGCACCCAGTGTGTCTTTTGTTTCACTGCAGATGGAGTGGCTCCCGTCTTTGACTGTTGCTAGAAACAGCTTGTGACTTGGTTGCAAGTGACTGTTACCATGGGCAGAACTCCAAGGAGTTTCAATGATGATGTTTCCATGAGATATATTTTAGCCATATAAGGTTTCCTCCAGGAAGGTCAAGAAGGGGAATGACAAGCCACTTATAATGGCCCAAGAGCAAAACTCGACTGTCATGCACAGAGAGGGGATGAGAAGGAATACAGAAAAAAAACACTTCCTCTGACAGGACTGTGAATAAGAGAATAAAAGAAGAACAGAAGACACACATTTTCACAGCATGAGTAGGGAGCTGCGTTTTGCAAGCCCCACATGCGTGGCATTGCATGTTTCTTGTCACCACTAGAGGATAAGTGCCTAAAGGAAGCTGATTCCTGCAAGGCCACCTCTTCTCTATTCATCACTGACCCTGGCTGTCTTTCCTCATCATCACACAAACCCTGGGATGATTCGGAGCCCAGCCCAGAGCCCCATTCTTCTCCAGCAATGGGGTATTAGAAGCAATGACTGCCTAGGTT